TCAAAATTTCAGCCTTCTAGCTTTTCTGGGTCTCGAGTTGAAAGTGGGTGACAAAAAGTGCGAACACAGACAGCTACACACACACACGCACACACACAACATACATACATACACATACACACACATACACACACAGCTTCTTCCCAATATGCGTTTTTGCAATTTACATATATGCAAAAACGCATAAAAATAATAATGAATCCATTCAAGCGGATCATTTAATTCAATGGCCGTCATTTCGGTGTTAACGCTTGTGTTTATTATCAATACGCAGCGAGCGAAAAGGATCTGATTTTAGAAGTGTTCATGGAACAAGCGAAACGAACCTAAAAGTCAGTTAAATTTCAGCAACAAAAGCTAAGCGATCCAGGACGACCTCGAGTTTTCTAGAAGTTACCCATGAGATTCCTGCCCCATTAGCGCTTCCCGAACCAGATTCTTGGCATTCTGATGAAGTGGAGCAACAGACGTTTGCTCCTTTAGTGGCAGCAGAAACAAAGCCACCATGGCCGGATGATGTCAAACAGGAGACTTTTATTCCGTTAGGGCCACAAGAAGCAGATCCAAGGCGACAATTACCGCTGTTACCAGAGCTGCGCTCCCCTTCGTTGCCAATGCTGGAACCATGGAAAACACTGCCAACACTACCCCTACCACCACAATCACCACCACCATCACCACCAGCGCTTTCATTAGCAGCACCGTTGCAGCCACTAATGGCACCACTGCTTTCATCAGCTGCGATTCCATCGTCTTCGGCTCTGGTATTATTGCCATCAACTGTGGAGCCGTTGCCATCAACTGTGGAGCCGTTGCCATCAACTGTGGAGCCGTTGCTATCAACAGCACCGTCGTCTCCACCGGTTGCGGTATCATTGCCTACAACTCTACCATCATCGCCAATAGCTGCGATACTGTCACCATCAATAGTACCGTCATTATCATCAGCTGCAGCAACAGTGCCAACGGAAGCAACATCATCATCGTCAGTTATGGTATCAGCGCTGCCAGTTGCATCATCACCACCAGCTACGATACCACTTTCGACGGCAGCACCATCATCACCATTAGCTGTGTTACCACCTTTACCAATTCCACCATTATCACCATCAGCGCTACCAGCGATACCATCATCGTTAACAGCTCTGGCACTATCTCCACTGATAGCATTAACACTGCCTTCGACAACAACATCATCGCCACCAACAGCGCCAACATTTCCACTAGCTACCGTACCATCACCGCCAAAATCACCATCCTCGCCACCAGAAATACCATCGTCGCCATCAGAAGTACCCGAAATACCATCGTCACCATCAGAAATACCATCTACATCATCAGAAATACCAGCGATAACGTCTTCGCCATCAGAAATACCAGAGATGCCATCGTCGCCACCGATAGCATTATTCGTTTCCCACAAGATACCACCGCCACCAACGGTTCCATTACCGTTAACAGCATTACCACCGATACCATCTCCACTAACCGGAGCACCAGTACTGCAACCATCACCAGCAGTATTATCAGCTTCGCCAGCAGCAACCCCATCATTACAAGTACCATCGCTTTCACAGATAGCAGAAGTAATCCCGTCGCTTGCTTCACCTGCAAACAGTGTAAGAAATAAATTCTGTCATTCAAAATGTAATGGTAATCCTCCATAAACTGTATTTGCGGGGCTTTCATACTAAACTGAAACCGCATACTTAAACATGTTGATAAGTGAAATAGCCATAAATCTTGCTTCTCAAGTAGATCTCGGAAATGCTGTAGGCCTATCTAGGAATGGCTTCGCCCGCTCCGCCCGTCCCTGCTCTTTCCACACGGCATGGGAACCAGTGCTGCAAACTTCCGGATCTTTTCATAAATAAAATTAAAGTAACTCTAAGTAGCAGTGTTATAAGTAACTCTATTTCCTTTTTTGCATAGTTCTAGAAGTCCGTCCTGGTTTGCCTCACTCCACCCCATTTCCCCCTCCTCCCCCACTCCCCACTTCCTCGCTTTCCCAGGAATCCGTAGTGGATCCGCCCATGGGAATCGCAACGCATAAAATTGAGCAGTTTGAAAAATGCATTACTTTTCGCAGTACCCGCACCTCAGCAACCGTGAACTTAAAGGAAAACGCGGAATTTTTGCCCGATGTCGGCTCTGCCTTTCAGGAACACGCAGTTCACGATAAAAAGGCCCGCCCTTTTATCCTGAACTTCACATTCATAAAAAGTGCTAGGCGCAGTTCCTTCGGAGACTGCCCGAGTGGTCATATTCGTCTTCTTTTTCGTTACTCCTAAGCAGAATGTTTGTGAAGTGATCATACAGTGTTAATTGTGTTTGCAGCCTATTGGTGTTGCGTCAGAAGAAAAGTGGGATTCCTACACTCAAATGCCCATGAAATCGCGAATACCATTTGCTAGGTAATTATCATATTTCACAGTAATCACTGTTTTAGTTGTCCTTCCTTTCTTCTAGTATTTCAGTTCAGACATCATATCGCTAAATTTATCAAGATTTCTGAATCTAGAGTAGATCTCCACTGAACTAAAATGAGAGCTTCTGGTATATGCAGTACCAATGTATTACTGAAATGAATGAATTGATCGTAGAGAGATTAGTTATCCCACCGGCTGAGTTCGCTTATTAGGGACGAAAAGTTCGATGTAATCGTTTCGTCTTTCACCTGACAAATAAGAGCTGGCAAGTATTGCCAATTTTAAGTTAAATTTGTTCGAAGTCGCTTAAAAAGCTTGATGTTTTAGGCCTGAAAGGATAACATCGGAAATATTTGGTATGGATGAAAATACGGTCCCCCCGATCTGTGAAATGGATGAAGAATTGGTGGAGCAGGAGGATGTTGTCAGGTATTGTCCTTTTTCAGCACAGCCTGTGTTTGATTTCCCGGATCTGATCTGTACTTGTGAATGGCTATCCTATCCGTGCACTGTACACTTAATAAATTTGCTTGTTTCTTTCCCCGAAAGCCATTTATTGGACCGGGCATGATTTTTGAATTAGGAATAGTGCTTCCCTTTGAACCCTGTTGTAGCCCCGTTCCTAAACAGTTTCTCTGCAGAAACTGTCAGCTGAACAGCAAAAGTGTGTTTTTTCTTCATTTCCAGAACCTAGCACTTAAATTTTATAATTTATTTCCTATTTTTTTCGATGGTGTGGCTCGAGTACCACTTTTGTACTGTGCACTGCTCGATTCCTAAATCTGAACAAAGAAGTGAGGTAGCGTGAGCTCTTCCAAATGTGGTTGCAGTGGTAGCATGAAAAAACATGAATTTAAATTTGTTGCCCTCACTGTATATGGAATGCAGTTTTAAGCGGCTGGAAAATCGGAAAAATACTTCTAAAAATTATTTTACAATATTTAAAAATAAAAAATCTTTTGGATTTTACAAGAAAAATTTTTATACATGATCAGCATAATTTCATATTTTCAAATAAGCACACTTTACAAGCATACCAAGGACACGTCAAGTCATTTTCTTTCTTAATTTTTCTGATTTCTCAAACTTCCTAACTCTACTTAAACTCCAATTTTTTAACTAAAGTGAATAATTTTTGCAAAAAAATTTTACTAAAATATTTTTTATAAAATGCCGTTTTTCACTAAAAAAACAGATTTATTAGTGCTTCGTAATGAAAACTTTACTTTCTGTAAAAATTGTGTCCGCACAAAAGATAAAATTGTCTAGGAAGATGGCAACGAATTGTCTTGAAGTTCACGGACAAAAATCCCGCACTCTGCGCTGCTTTTCCTACTTCACTTCGCAATTTTCCTTGTATTGTTGTTTTTGTCTTCGCTCACACTTTTTCTAGTGTTTGTATTACTTTTGCACTGTTTCTGCCTTCCGTTGCCACTGCTTTTGTTAAACGGATTGCCGGAGAGTCCCTTTCAAGCCGAACGGTAGAATAAAAAAAATTTTTTTCCGGAGAAGACCGAAACGCAAAAGTGTATGATTGCACCGGCAAGCCTGGTGCATTACAGACTGGATTTGCATAGTGCCCGGTCGTTTTTCCGGTGAATGCTCGTCTATTGAAAAACTGAAGATTTCCTGCCAAAGCAGTTTTTTTAGGGTTCCGTACGCGAGATCCAAGCGCGTATGAGAAGATCTTAAAACGGAAGGGTGGCACACGTAGTGGGAACATGCCCCTAAAATTTCAGCCCCACAGCTTTTCTGCTGCTGAGTTGAACGTGGGTGACAAAGTTCACTCGCTTCCGAATATACACACATGAGCGACTTCCTGACAATATGTTTTTTTGCGCTATATCGCTGCACAGCAAAAACGCATAAAAACTGTGAAGCTGGTGATTGTAACATAGTAACGTCGTGAGTTCCACTTCGATATTCTGGCTAAGTTTGGCCAAGTAGTGAGGATTTGCCCATTTAACCGCTAAGTAAACTCGTATTCTACCAAGCTATCGCACTTTATCTTTTTACTGTCCTAACGTTTCGCTTTCCGAATAATTGTAACTGTCCTCGTATTTTCTACTATACTTGCACTTGAAAATTTTCCGTTTACTTTTCAATGCAGCTTCGCTGGCTTTCCTGGATTTCTTGCTCGGAATTCCACCATCCTGCTGAAATGTCAATGATGAAGTATTCACGTACCTGCTCGCTGCAAGTATTTCCCCTCTTCACTTTTGCAAAGCACAGAGGTTTCTTTTGCATGAATTTTATTTGTTAGATTCACTTTA